TTTCATGTCTGAGGTTTACAACCACTTTAAATGTTCACTTAGGCCTAGGCAGGCATCTCCAAACTGTTCAGTATAAGGGCCACATTGTATATTTTACAAATACTCGATGATATAAAAAAAATCTCCGTCAGAGTCCACTTATATCAGAGTCCTGGACTTACATCAGGGTCCCCATCAGGTCAGAATCCCCAGGAGAGTTCCCCTTACATCAAAGTTCCCATTACAATCAGGGCCCTTATTATAGCCCCCCTTCTGTCTGTGCCCTCATTTTAGCCCCCCCCTTTACAGCCAGGTCCCTAATATAGACCCCCCTTACAATAGGGTCCCCTTTACAGTCCCCCATTACAGAGTCCAGCTGTGGGTTGGAAGCGAAGACCAGGAAGCCTCTGCTAACCTTAATCTTCAATCCCCCAGCTTAGTTTGGAGACCCCCGGTCTAAAGGACTGGGAAAAGTGCTTTTACTTACCTGAACTCCACTCCATCGGCACCCAGCCCTCCTCTGTGCTTAGGTGGTGGACTGACCCACAGCTTCCTCATATCCAATGCATGGCTATGAACTGTGCACTGCACTTGATGATGTCAGAGAGCATCCAACCACCACAGCACAAGGGAGAAGGGGTTGTGCACACTGGTCTAAGCAGCCTGGGGGAGCCTACAGGGATCAGCATATATACAGTCATGGCCGAAATTGTTGGCACCCTTGATATTTTTCCTGAAAATCAAGTATTTCACACAAAAAAAGGTATTGCATTAACACATGTTTTGCTATACACATGTTTATTCCCTTTGTATGTATTGGAACAAATATAAAACAGAGGCAGAAAAGCAAATATGACATAATGTCACACAAAACCCCAAAAATGGGCTGGACAAAAGTATTGGCACCCTTAACTTAATATTTGGTTGCACACCCTTTGGAAAACATAACTGAAATCAGTCGCTTCCTATAACCATCAATAAGCTTCTGACACCTCTCACCCGGAATTTTGGACCACTCTTCCTTTGCAAACAGCTCCAGGTCTCTCTTATTGGAAGGACACCTTTTCCCAACAGCAATTTTAAGATCTCTCCACAGGTGTTTCAATGGGATTTAGATCTGGGCTCATTGCTGGCCACTTCAGAACTCTCCAGCGCTTCTTTGCCATCCATTTCTGAGTGCTTTTTGACGTATGTTTGGGGTCATTGTCCTGCTGGAAGACCCAGGATCTTGGACGCAAACCCAGCTTTCTGACACTGGGCCCTACAGTGCGACCCAAAATCCTTTGGTAATCCTCAGATTTCATGATGCCTTGCACACAGTCAAGGCACCCAGTGCCAGAGGCAGCAAAAAAACAACCCAAAACATCATTGAACCTCCACCATATTTTACCGTAGGTACTGTGTTTTGTTCTTTGTAGGCCTCATTCCGTTTTCGGTAAACAGTAGAATGATGTGCTTTACCGAAAAGCTCTATCTTGGTCTCATCTGTCCACAAGACGTTTTCCCAGAAGGCTTTTGGCTTACTCAAGTACATTTTGGCAAACTGTAGTCTTGCTTTTTTATGTCTCTGTGTCAGCAGTGGGGTCCTCCTGGGTCTCCTGCCATAGCGTTTCATTTCATTTAAATGTCGACGGATAGTTCGCGCTGACACTGATGCTCCCTGAGCCTGCAGGACAGCTTGAATGTCTTTGGAACATGTTTGGGGCTGCTTATCCACCATCCGGACTATTCTGCGTTGCAATCTTTCATCAATTTTCCTCATCCGTCCACGACCAGGGAGATTAGCTACAGTGCCATGGGTTGCAAACTTCTTGATAATGTTGCGCACTGTGGACAAAGGCAAATCTAGTTCTCTGGAGATGGACTTGTAACCTTGAGATTGTTGATATTTTGCCACAATTTTGGTTCTCAGGTCCTCAGACAGTTCTCGTCTCCTCTTTCTGTTGTCCATGCTTAGTGTGGCACAGACAGACACACAATGCAAAGGTTAAGTGAACGTCTCTCCTTTTTATCTGCTTTCAGGTGTGATTTCTATATTGCCCACACCTGTTACTTGCCCCAGGTGAGTTTACAGGAGCATCACATGCTTGTAACATTCTTATTTATCCGCAGTTGTGAAAGGGTGCCAATACTTTTGTCCAGCCCATTTTTGGAGGTTTGTGTGACATTATGTCGAATTTGCTTTCTTTCCTCCCTTTTTTTGTTTTGTCCCAATACACACAAAGGGAATAAACATGTGTATAGCAAAACATGTGTTAATGCAATACGTTTCGTGAGAAATACATGATTTCCTGGAGAAATATCAAGGGTGCCAACAATTTCGGCCATGACTGTATATATATATATATATATATATATATATATATATATGCATGTTACCTGTATTTGTAAACTTCAGCTTTAGCTTTTGAGCTCTGTAAACTTTAGGTTTCACCCAAAAAATCAGCAAATGAGTAAGGTCCCTTTCAGCGTCGGCGGATCCTCCTTCTCGTTAGGGGATCTGTCTGCTGATCCCTGCTGAGTAAGCAGATGACAGGTCCGAGTCCGGTCCGCTTATGCAGAGCAGATGTAGACACAGTCCACTGTCCTCTATGAGCAGTCGGATGGAAACGGACCGCCTGTCCATTGCCATGTGACTGCCATCTGATCCGACTGACGGAAGGGGACCAGATCCCCATCCGTCTCTTTTTGGTGGATCGGGTCGGATTGGATGTCATGTCCACTTACACCCGCTGCTCCATAGAGAAGAGTAAAACGGGCAGGCAGACCCAATTGGAACGTCTATGTGAATGGGGTCTTAACCTTCCTAGTGGTCTGATTATGTCCATATTTCTGTGCTGAAAGCGGTACATTTTTTTGCATGGAAATATGTATATTTTTTATTGTAGGCCTGTAATTTTTAGGAATAACTCACTGAAATCTGTCCGAACAAGAGTCTAGTAAACATCCCGGGTATGATAAAATTTAAAACACGAAATCATAAATTATAATTTAATAAATAATCATAAAAAATAATAATATATTAATAAATTTAATTAAATAATATAATCAAACCAAAAACACTTAAATTTTAAATATAGCGACAAGCAAAGTCACAGAATCGTTTTCAGTGTCTGATGACGAATTTCCCCACCAATCATTATCACTCAATTCTGCAAGTGGTTCTAATTTATTATCGCTGTTCTCTAGCCGGTCTAAAAACTGATTTAGACCTAAAGGGACACTTTTTGGACGCCATGGACTTTTCTAAGTTTCCAGGCAGAAAGAACAGTCAAAATGCAGGCAGGGCACAGGACAAAGCACTCGGGACAAAATGTATGTGAAATGGTTTGATACAGTAATGTAATGCTATGAGATTTTAGTAAATTTAGTGAATGTCACTTTTTGTCATTTTCAAATTTCCCACCAGTTCCGTCCCCGTACGTCCCGACGTCGCAGGGGATGGAACCCGGAAGACAGATGCCGGCATTGGCCGGAGGACATTACAGGGGACACTGCAGGAGGGACATCGCGGGAGCGCAAGACAAGGTAAGAGAAGAACAGATCACAGAGCAGTGCCGCATGGTAAGCATGAGTGTAGCTCGGGGTTACCGCTTGAGATACTGAAACTTTGCCCCGAGCTACACTCGGGAATACCACCAGAGAGACTACAAAAGGAATGTAAAGGAGTCCAAAGCTCCTCAAAAAGATGCAAAAAAAAATAAGCAAAATACTCATATGCAATATTTTATATAAAATAACATAAAACAATAAAAAAGATATAATATAAATATAAAAAATAATTACAAAATTTTAAAGTATTTTCTAGAACTGATTATAACAGAAAATGGCAGCTCGAAGGAATATTGCCATTTATTAAACCCAGAGTGTTGGGAAAGCGTGTTTGACCTTACCTTTGTGTGGGTCAAACCTTGAGGTAAGCAGCAGCATCGGGACGTGATGGTTCACAGCGGTGGAGCACGTCAGCAAGTTTATAAGGAGCACGCATGACCTATGCATGTCACAAAACACAACTCTTTTTGAGGAAAGAAATCTTGCACTGGATATTTTGGGACTTTAATTTACTTTGCATCTGTTTATATTAGCAAAATTTATATGCGATTACATTCGTTTTTTATAGTATCTTTGAAATTTATAGGGGTATTATGAATTACTAAGCACTGTTTGTACAAGATGATTTGGGATTTATTGCATTTTACTTATTTATATTATTAATTATATCACCATTTGTTTTTTTATGTGTTTACATGAGCTTGTTAACTTATGTAATTTAATTATCTTTGCACATTTATATACTTTAGTTGCGCTGCACTATTTGATATAGATTTATATCTTGCTGTATTTATTGCAATATGTTTCTATTTAGAATCCCAATTCACCTTTATTTATTTATTTCAGGTACTTATATAGCGCCATCAATTTACGCAGCGCTTTACATATATATTGTACATTCACATCAGTCCCTAACCCTCAAGGGGCGTACAAATTCATTTTTTAATTAGAATTTGGATAATTCGTTTGTTTATAATTTATTTTCTATTTGTTGAAATTAGTTACTATTGTGATTCAGAAATTTGGATGCATCTGAATCTCTGAATAACGAAAATTTTGTCTGAATTTCGTAGCAAAACGAATTGCACGTCTAAGAAGGATGGCAGAGCACCCCTAGTGGACACTGATAAGAACAGATTCTACACTTGATCTTAGGCAATTTACAAGTGGCCATTCCAGTCAGGGCCAGATTTTAAAAATACTGCATTGTGGCCACTAGATGGTGCTGATGATCATAGGAAATACATATATCAGACACATTATCTGTGCCACCCTATAGAAGAAATACTGCTACAGGGCAGCACAGCTGTGGAAAATCACAAGTGTATATATATATATATATATATATGTATGTATGATTTTTGCATTTCCGGGTAGGGGGCGCACCATTTAGCGGTCTCGGCTGTCGTTCACTGGGTCCCGTCTGGTGATTCCCCACCGGCACCCGGCAATCGCCGAGTATCACGGACAGGGGAGAGACCTGTATGTAAATAATACAGATCACTCCCCTGTCAGCTCCTGCACACTGCTTTGTATGGCTCTGCATAGCAGAGCCATACAAAGCAGTGTGCTTACAGTGTAAAGCACATACACAGCACACAGTAAAACAGCACACAGTTAATCCTTTGATCGCCCCAGATGTTAACCCCTTCCTGCCCAGTGCCATTAGTACAGTGACAGTGCTTTTTATTAGCACTGATCACTATATTGGTGTCACTGGGGATGTCAGTGACATCAAGTCAGTTCCCTCCACACCAGTGTCAGTCCCGCAGTCCCGCTATAAGTCGCTGATCGCCGCCATTACTAGTAAGTAAAAAAATCCAGTATATATATCGCCATTTGTAAACGCTATAACTTTCACGTAAACCAATTCATTTACACGTATTGGGATTTTTTTTAGCAAAGACATGGAGCAGAATACATTTTGGCCTAAATTTATGATGAAATTAGATTTTTAAAAAGCATTTTTTACTGGACATGTTTAATAGCAAAAAGTCAAAAATATTGTTTTTTTTTTTTCAAAATTGTTGGTCTTTTTCTGTTTATAGCACAAAAAAAAAAAAAACCGCACAGGCGATCAAATACCACCGAACGAAAGCTCTATTTGTGGGAAAAAAAGGACGTAAATTTTATTTTGGTTGCATGACCGCGCAATTGTCAGTTAAAGTAACGCAGCACCGTATCACAAAAAATGACCTGGTCAGGAAGGGGGGTAAATCCTCTGGAGGGCAAGTGGTTATAGGGATCATTCACAAAGGCTGTGTGATTACTGATGCATTCGCACAGCACATTTTTTTTTATATCTAGTCCCCTGAATAGGATTCAATTAGCTTTAACATAGATTTTACGCAGGGGTGGACTGACAACTCATTGGACCCCCCGGGCAGTAGGAGATCATGGGGCACCTGTGTCCTCGCACACACTCAAACTACACCCAAAAAAGACTATTAAAGCTACCAGGGGCATCTCATGGGGCCCCCTACTGACCCCGGACCCTCGGACAGTGCCCGAGTACCCTTAATAGTAGGTGCTTGTCAGTAGGTGCTTGTCAGTCAGCTACAGACAACTCCGTCCCGTTTGCTGTACACTTCCACCGTGATACAACCAGGAAACACAGGGAAAGCAGTGCACATGCATGTACGGCCCTCCTTCCTGCTGTCACTAGTAGCTACCAGTGGATCTTGTAGAGATAACTTATCTCTAAATGCGCAGTTACACTGTGCATCTGGTGAGTGCACAGCCTTATCCGCCTCACGTTCACCGCATGGAAGCAGCACTTTGAAGGAGAGAAATTATCACAGAGACTGTTTTTGCACTGCATGTTACTCTGTTTGTGACATAATGTTTGGAATCACATTAGTCACTTAACCACTATATTGATATCTTGGATGTTTTTTCACTTAAATATTTGTGATATAGCGCCGCATCTTTCAGGTAAGTAAAAGTACTTTTCCCAGTCCCTTAGACCAGGCAAACCAAGCTGGGGGATTGAAGATTAAGGTTGGATTTTACGTTATAATACAACCGTTATGTTTTCTTTTTATACTAATTATTATTTTTTATATTAAGATTATTATTATTATACAGGATTTGTAGCAGTAATTATTATTATACAGGATTTGTAGCTGTTATTATTATTATTATTATTAGTATTATTATTATTATTATTATACAGGATTTGTAGCTGTTATTATTATTAGTATTATTATTATTATTATACAGGATTTGTAGCTGTTATTATTATTATTATTATTAGTATTATTATTATTATTATTATACAGGATTTGTAGCTGTTATTATTATTAGTATTATTATTATTATTATACAGGATTTGTAGCTGTTAATATTATTCTTATTATTATTATTATTATACCGGATTTGTAGCTGTTATTATTATTAGTATTATACAGGATTTGTAGCTGTTATTATTATTATTATACAGGATTTATATAGCGCCAACAGTTTGCTAAGCGCTTTACAATATGACGGGAGACAATACAGCAACCAGGGGCGGACTGACCATTTGGAAACTCGGGCATTGCCCAAGGGCCCGGGGTCAGTAGGGGGCCCCATGAGATGCCCCTGGTACCTTTTTTCATAGGCTTTTTTGAGTTTGGGCAAGGACACAGGGGCCCCATGATCCCCTATTGCCCGGGGGCCCCATGAGTTGTCAGTCCGCCCCTGAGAGCCACAATACAGTTCAATACAAGAGAGTTAGGGGGGGGCTCTGCTCCAGGGAGCTTACAATCTAATAGGGAGGGGCTGGTGGAACAAAAGGTAATATCTGTGGGGGATGAACTGATGGGAGAAATGGAAGAATATCATAATTATTATATCTATGAATCCTGACTTGGTGGAGGGTGGATGTTTATCTGTGACACTGACATAGGGTGGATGTTTGTCGATGGTTGTTATGTCTGAACAGGCTAAGACAAATTCAAATAAAAGGTAACAACTGCTTGTTTCCTGTTACCGTTGTGTATTGGACTAGAAAGTGACATGACAAGGTAATAGAAGGACAGCCGTTACAGGGTGGGATGTTCCAAGCCCTCTTTAAGTGTCACTTAGGAGTATGTGATCATTATAAGAGATGATGGCAAATTGAAGAGAACGAGGCATGGGTGGAAATGGTACAATAGGAGCACAAACATAAACAGGAAGAGTGCTTTATTTAGTCAATTACCTCCTACAACAGCCTGTTATTAGTATGGCTGAACCCGTCTCAGAATAACTGCGGCGAATAATGCTTCAGTGTTCCCACGTTCTGCCTACTGTCTCTCAGTACTCACATATACTAACGCCACGGCTAAACGGGAATGGGCAAAAAATGAAAAACTTGAATAAAGTTTACAAAGATTCCCACTGGAGCTATTCAGATTTCATTTTGGAGAAAGCCACATTGAGATGATGTGGGGTTGTCAAGTTTCTCTTGGTATTTGTGTTGTGTCAAACCAGTCCAACCACGTCAATGAAGGGCTCAATAGTATTACAAGCTTACCTCCACTCCCCGAAGTCATCGATATATTGGATTGCATTTGCTAAAGCTGGCTATATGTTCACCGGCCACTTTATTAGGTACACCTTGCTAGTACCGGGTTGGACCCCCTTTTGCCTTCAGAACTGCCTTCATTCTTCATTGCATAGATCCAACAAGGTGTGGGGAACATTCCTCCGAGATTTTGATCCATATTAACATGATAGCATTACGCAGTTGTTGCAGATTTGTCAGCCGCACATCCATGATGCGAAACTCCCATTCCACCACATCCCAAAGGTGCTCTATTGGATTGAGATCTGGTGACTGTGGAGGTCATTGGAGTACAGGGAACAAATTGTCATGTTCAAGAAACCAGTTTGAGATGATTTGAGCTTTGTAACATGGTGCATTATGCTGCTGGAAGTAGCCATCACAAGATGGGTACACTGGCATCCGGTGTGGTGTTCTGCTGCTGTAGCCCATCTGCTTCAAGGTTCAACATGTGTGTTCAGAGATGGTATTCTGTTTACCTTGGTTGTAACAAGTGCTTATTTGAGTTACTGTTGCCTTTCCAACATCTCAAACCAGTCTGCCCATTCTCCTCTAACCTCTGAGATTATTAACAATATGTATATAAAAAATGCAGCGCTATCTGGTATTATTATGCTATAGGCAATTATGATGAAGAAAAATTAAATGCAAATGGATATATGAAATGAAATAAATCACAGTCCAAAAAAAGTGCTCGCTGATTCCCAGTGCAGATGGTAGAAATGCACACTAACCAGAGAAGCGTATTGGTAATACGCATATGTGTAAAATATCCTGAAGATTCCCCTCTCTTTTCTGGTCTGGTCATGGGCAGGAGCTGGAAAATATGAAGATGAAGCGCCCTCGTGTGGAGAAGATGAGGTCCAGCAGGTCAGAGAAATCTTTACCAAGATGTAGTCCCCCCTCTCTCAGGAGCTGGTACAGAGATCACTCTGGGGCTGCAAAAATTGAAAAGGCTCCTGTTCCTCTATCCAGCCGCGCGCTGTCTTCCCGGCTTCTGTAGTGTCGGCCTTTTTGTCCACACAACTGTCACCCAGTCCATATTTTCTCTTTTTTGGACCGTTCTCTGTAAGCCCTTGAGATGGTTATACATGAAAATCCCAGTAGATCAGCGGTTTTTTAAATACTCAGACTAGCCCATCTGGCACCAACAACCTTCCCCATTCTGATGCTCAGTTTGAACTTCAGCAAGTCGTCTTCACCACGTCTAGATACCTAAATGCATTGAGTTGCTGCTACGTGATTGGCTGACTAGCAATTTGTGTTACCAAGCAATTGAACAGGTGTACCTAATAAAGTGGCCGGTGAGTATACAGTGCCCATTTCAAGCAGAGGGCTGCATTTACCCAAGCCAGTTTGGACTTTGTCTGTGATACACATATGAAGACCAAACATTTTCTGTTTTTGTTTACAAGTTTAAATCAGTTTCTTTGCTAGAAAATTACTTATAACCCCCAAACTTTATATATATATATATATATATATATATATATATATATATAAATTAGCAAAGGCCCTAGAGGAGAAAAAGGCGATCGTTCCAATTTGCCCAGTGGTTTTTTAAATGCAATTTTTTGGGAAAAAATACACTTTAATGAATAAAAAAAACGAAAACACAATGTATACTCAATTTTTTTTGTACAATATGAAAGAGGATGTTACAGTGAGTAAACTGATACCTAACATATCCTGCTTTAAAATGGCTCCCGCTTGTGGAATGGAGACACACTACAGTACTCTATAGGCGACTCTAATGCCCCGTACACACGATAAGAAAATTAGTACGAAAAATTTTGCGGAACCACTAATCGAACGATTATCTCTTCGTTGATGAGCAGGATGTTTTAACCGATAACGATATTGTGAATGAAAAAATCCGGTTGAACAACAGTGAAAAATGTCGTTTCGCATGCGAACAACCAATTTTCTATGCGGTGGTATGACGGTCGTACAAAAAAATATCTATGAAGCGCTATCATCACACATGA